TCTCGCCTCGGAACGCACCGCCGGGCGAAAAGATAACGGAACCCCCGGGAGGGAGAAGGGGGTGGGGAGGGAAGGCTCGCTCGCTCACTCACCTCCCGTGGTCGCCGCCGCCGCCGGTCGTCTGACCCGAGGAAGGCGCCGTCGCCTTAAAGGGACCTTGCACCCGACGCCGGGAGAAGGGGGTGGGAGCAAGGGAGGGGACGGGGGCTCGGGGGGGAGACGAAGGAGAAGGAGCCACAGAAAGCTCGTCTCCCTGAGGGTGAAAGGAAACCTCCCTCGGGTTCAAGTGAATTGAGGTGGATTTTTTTTTTCACGAGGGGGGGCGGGGGCCCCGAGGGAGGGGGTGAGGGGGCCAAGGAATGCGGCTCCGTCTACGGGAGCTGGCGCGGGGGACAGAAGCGCCGACTCCCCCCACCGGCCCTCTCGCCCCGCGGAGGGATTCGGCTCGTCACTTCCGCCCTCCCCCTTTCGGGTCCTTTCATTGGCTGGAGCCCCTGACACGTCAGGGCCTCAGCCTACCCCGTGCCCGGGCTTCTTTCTTTCTAGTCAAGTTTGGCTGGGCCCGCAAATAAATTAATTAAATAAGAGCATTATTATTATTTATTATTATTATTAATAGAAAAATAATTGGCTTCAGAAGGAGTATCTAATTTTTTGTTGAGAAAATGGATTTCCCAAAAAAAAAAGACTTCCCCAATTAACTTGCCCAATACTTTGCAGGAAAATTTGGGGCGTCTCCGTCCACATCCCATGCAAGACAAACCCAGTCAAGAAGGGAACTTTATGCTGCAGGCCAGATGGTGAGGCCCAGTAACATCAACAACTGTTATTGGAACAATGACATCAAAATGGCACTCACTCTTCCTCTAGAGACAGCCAAGTAGCCTTGTGGCAAATAGCCTTGTTTAAGTACAGTACTTTTAAAAGCCATTTTTGCCCTCTGAATTCTGAGAGTCCAGATCTTGAAAAACTCTCTGAAGCAAAATATTATGAATTGACTCAGTGGAGATCCCCAATTCTAAAAGCCATACTTTGGTTCCACAAATGAGATCGGTTGGTTCAAAGAAAATGATTACATCCATTCAATACCATACACTTGTCATTTTTCTCAAAACAAAAACTAACCTCTTTTCCAAGTAGCCAACAATTGTTGGGTTTTTGTTGTCTCTTAAAGGATGACACAATTTCAGTGTTTTCCCTTGAATTTCTGAGAATATTGATACTCTTCAGGTAATACACAAGTGCTCACTCTGAACCAAATGCTAAATCAAGGTATTTGGTGCAATATTAGAGACATTCAGATCACACTTTTGCTTCTCACTACACACTATGATAAGACCCTTCAAACCACCAGATTAATAAAAACAGGCAGTAGGAGTAGAATTTTCTAATCATACAGATGTGCACACATACAAAGGCAAGTCAACAAGTATTGGTACAAAATCACAGAAAGCTTTATTGAGCTATGAACCTGTTGTCTCAGCATATCCTCCGTCTAGGTCTATCCACTTCTGAAGGTGCTGTGTCCATCCCTCTAACCCTTTCCCAAATGATTCTGTGCTCTTTGTTTTATGCCATGCCTGCATGAGTTTTTTTTTTACTTTAAATCATTTTATTGAGGGCTCTTACAGCTCTTATCACAATCCATACATCAGTTATGTCGATCACATCTGTGCATATGTTGCTATCATTTTCAAAGCATTTTCTTTCCACTTGAGCCCTTAGTATCAGCTCCTCTTTTTTCTCTCCTTCCTCACCCTCCCACCCTGGTGAACCCTTGATAAATTATAAGTAATTGTTATTTTCATATCTTACACCGTCTGCTGTCTCCCTTCACCCATGTTTCTGTTGTTGGGGTGGGGGGTATACCTTGATCATTGTGATCAGTTCCTCTTTCTCCCCCTTCTCCCCTGCCTTCATGACAGTTTTGACATCCTCCAAGGACTCACATTGTGTTTCTTTTTTAGTGTTGAATTTGGGAGAGAAAACGAAGTCCAAGAGGGCAATCCTGAGGCTGCATGGTGGATAGGTTAAGGCTTACAATGAAAGTTCATAAGATAACTCTTGCTACCTTCAAAGAATAATTATGTGGATTGTCTGTCGTGATGGAGGAGAAAAAAGAATCTTCAACACTACTTTCCAGGCCTATTTCTCACTAAGGCAATTTTCAATTCTCTTAAAACTTCATCCTATCAGCCACCGTGGTCATCCTGTGTCCTTAGAGAAAATCTATCAAGATTACCCCTTTGGGATCCCACAACATAGTCCCCATAACTTTCTGAGCTGACCACTCTGCCTTGAATTAGACTGTTGCAGTAGACTATTGCCCTGGGAAGCCACTGTTTAGAAAAGACTATACTTTCTGGATAGTATTGGTAAATTCAAGCCTTCTCTTCACTTATGCTTCACTCCATAAAATTGTCTTCATTAACTTCAGTCTTACTTTAAAAAGGGATGGAAAGATCAGTTCTTTGAGCTAGTTTATCTTCACATAAAACTTGTGAAATCCATCAAGCCAAAAAGTTGCTGAAAGTGCTGAATCGTGTGAGATCCCAGCTATAGTAGCTGTAGCATGAATGTACCCTCTTCGTCCAGCAGTTTCTGGACTTTAGCCACAGTTTCTTCATTTATCCAGGTTGATGGTCTGCCTTCTCTTGGCGCATCTTTGAGGTCTTCCCGCTGTTCCTTCAAACACTCAATCTATCTAAAAAGCCAGGTTTGCGTTCTGTAAACAAATGGACCATGTAAAAATTAGTTGACATGATCCTGAGACCAGAACTAGATGGTACCTGGCTACCATTTACCAACTGCTCTGTACGTCATTAGATCTTGGATATACTAGGTTAAAAATATGAAACAAAACTCAAAATCAAGACGAGTATTACTGAACAGATAGAAACAGGTGGAACCTCCAAGACTAGGGTTCTTTATCACCCTGGTAATGGAATGACCCTGGTGGCTCAATTTCCAGCCAAAAAATAGATAGGTATAAGAGGAACAATAACACTAGTGAGATATCAGCAGTTTAGAATAAGCGATTCATTTGAGATTAAAAGGCAGTATTTACCCAAGTACAAAGTTCAGAATGTTTAGAAAGATGAAGGAAGGGAAACAGAAGTGAGATGAATTGATGTTACAATGTGTGTATTGCAGTCAATAATGTGATGTGCTAGTCTGGCATGACTAGAGAAACAAATCCAGAGGCATTCATATGTGTATAAGAAAGAGCTTTATATACAGAAGCAATTGAATATTGAGAAAACCCAGCCCAGTACAGATCAAGTCTGTAAGTCCAATATTATTCCATATGTCCGATACCAGTCTATAAGTTCCTCTTCAGACTCACACAACAATGCGATGACGCTAAGTGCATGAAGATCACAGGCCAGTAGGTGGAAACTCTTGTGGATCCAGTAGTGGTGGAAACATCTCAGCGCTGACAGGGATCTTCATATGGCTCCTCCAGCTCCCAGGGCTCTGGCTCCATCATTGTGTCTCCATGTGGCTTGCTGTCAGTAATGTCTCGCCTTACAGGGAGTAAGTGTGTGTCCCGCCTCCAATTGCTATTTATCTCCTTAGCACTTCCACATGAGGTCACCAAGCTGTGACCAGATTGACAGGCTAAACTCCACCCCTTCATTCTTAAATCTCAAATTGACAACAGATTATGTAATTGCCACACATGGAATAAAATGTGTATGAATTGGTAAATGGAAAGCTCTGTGAGCCTTCACCCAGTTACTACTATACCAAAAGTTTTTAAAAAGTAATAAAGTTACCTCTTATTGGAAAAAATAAAAACTGTAGTTTTATATGATACAGCATTGCTGTAAATCTGTTGCAATGCTTCAATAATTTAAGACAATGTCCACATGAGTTTTGCTAAAATTCTAATATTAGCCTTGACCTAAAAAATTCTTTGTTTTTTTTCATAGCACAAAAAGTATCTTTTTTTTATACCTTCTCAAGACCAAAATGAGAAGGCTTGGTGGTGTAGTGGTTAAGCGTTGGGCTGCTAACTGCAACGTCAGTAATTGAAAACAGCAGCTGCTCCCTGGGAGGAAGAGAGAGCTTTCTACCACCACGGCCTTGGAAACCCGCAGGGGCAGTCTTCCCTGTCCATAGGGTCGTTGGGAGTTAGCACAGACTCGATGGCTGTGAGTTTTCTCTTTTTGTCAAGACCAAAACAAGTGTGTTCTTAAGAGAACTTGTCTGGCTTGACACAATGGATGTGTGTGTGGATGGTGATGAGAACCGCAAGAGCCCCCAGTAAAATGATTAAAAATCATAATCCTAACAATGAGTCCAAGAAGAAAATGTCCTACATTTGATTGTGGTAGCAGTTATGCAAGCCTTCTGGGTGTGAGTGAACGATCGAATTGTATGGCGTGTGGAAGAAGAGTGCAGGAAAACGGTTTGAGAAAGAGAGAAGGAGAGAACTTGTCTGCAGCCACCCAGTGCCGGCAGAGACCTTTGGTTTGCAACAAACCTGTGCATGTCTGAACCGTGACCTCATAGCAGGACTTGCTACTTACCTTCTCTCTCTCTCCACCTTTGTCCATCCATTTCACTGCATTTCATACCACACACAGTAATTTGAACTCATCATTCTTAGGAGAGACCCCATTGGTTGTCATGTGCGAATCCTTGATTGGTGCTAGGGAGGGAGTAGGGACCTTACACTTTTGTGCTGTTTGGGTGGTCCGAAAAGGTCTTGACATGATGACTTTTGAGCCAAGAACTGAAGAAAGTGAAGCAAAACTCAAGTTTTCCGGAGTGACAGCAAAGTTGACGGAAGACATGGGGCAAAGCAGTGGCCTGAGCTGACTGTGTTTGCCAGAGATCTCTGCTGCTTGTGGAGAGTAACTAGCAGGCGCCAGGGCAGATGCAAGGCCGGAGAGGTGACTGTTACCTGGTCCAGGTAAGGGAGGGGCGGCCCCGCCCAGGGGAGGAGTGTGTGGAGCTGTTTTAGCTGAGTGTGCTCTGTCATGTAGTGCTGACTCCTTCCTTTGTCACCTATTCTTCTGTCATGCTGTTTGTGCCCTGGGAGACCATTTGGACCAATAATGGCGAGCAAAAGGTGTGTGAATGATGGTGCTGTGGCTGCCACACACAAAATAAAGAAATAAAACAAAGGAAGGAAGACCGTGGTGCTGACGGTCACCAAAGGG